TTTCTTTTGCCCTAGGTGATGTTAGAACTTTAGTCTTCCCTTTGAGCAACTTAGCATCAACCATATTCTGATCTTTTGGGAAAGGATTATCATTAACTTTCATCTTCCGAGGTGTATCAAATTTAAGCTTCCCTTGCTGAATAGCCCTCTGTATATGTTGCCGAAAAATTCTGCACTCATTAGTAGAATGAGAAGTAGTGTTATGAAATTGGTAGAACATCTTATTCTTCAACTGATCAGGAGGTAATATAATATGATTGGCAGGCAATTTGATCTATCCTTTCTCAAGGAAGAAATCAAAGAGCTTGTCTAATTTTGTGACGTCAAAATCATAACTTTCTTCAACTCCTTTTCCCCAAGGATTTGAAACTATCACTATCTTCTTTCCTCAATTCTATTCAGCTACAACAATCTCCTCTTCTTCATCATCCTCACTATCATCATCAACTAAATAAGGATTATAAACTTCAGCAATTGTGGCATTCTTCTAGAATCGGGTATCTCTGCACATATTCTGGAATTGGCTATTAAGTGCTGCCACCCGTTGAGCCAACTGACCTAAATTATCAAACTCTTGCCCAAGCAGTTTTTCTCTCTATGTTGGCAACATTCCTTGAATAGGCAAAGCAGCTAGCTGATCATCAGTCAGATTAATGAGAAGCACAAATTTCTTGTTTCTCGGAACCTCTGAAGAAACTCAGCACCCGATTTATTAGTTTTTTGCCTTATGATCATCAAATCTATGATTTTCCTTTCTCCTGTCCCAATATAGAAATATGTATAAAATTTTTTCTCCAGGTCAGCCCAATTGGCAATAGAATTAATTGGTGACGATGAAAACCAGGTGAAAGCTGGTCCTGAGAGGGACAAAGAGAAGAAACGAACTCGACGAGCTTCTTCAATGGATGCTTCACCCAACTGAGTAAGATACCGACTGACATGTTCTATTGTACTTGTACTATCTTGACTAGTGAACTTAGCAAATTCTGGAACCTGTAATTTATAGGAAGAGCAACCAAATTATACCACTCTGGATATGGACGTTTGTATGAAAAGGTCTACCCTTTTGGTTTTAAACCGAACTAATTCTTCATCATTTCAGTTACTCTAAGCAACAACTCATCAGCATTTGAATTTAGATTTCTTTACAATTGCTGACCCATCTGTGGATTAAAATTATGGGTACCTTGATACCCTAGATTTAGAATCATATGAAGGGTATCCCTGTGGAATCTTTATCTGTTGAGTCCTTTACTGATTTACTGCTTGAAGTCTCTGATTGTAAATATTGGGATCTGTATCTTTACAAATCCTTTGAACTGATGATGCTATTTTTTGAGCCGACGCAATGATATTTGCCTGATGTGCCAAAATTAACCATTTGATTCTGAACTTGCCCCGTTGGCTGTGGCATATACTGTACTGATGATCCAAGATTATACTGTATTTGATTAGTAGTAGTACCCTGAACTTGCTCAGATGAGCTCTGAACTGCCTGGACATCATCATTGCCAGCTAGTGCTGCTTCTTGATGGCTAGTACCGGCTGGATTAGTCCTCTGAGTCAACTGATGTGGAATGTTGTAATAAGTCGGTCCAATCTGATCAATTGGATATCCATAAAACACCTCCTTCATGGTATTGTGGAATGTGTTTAGGAAAGTCAGATTATGATTCAACATGGCATCATGAATGATTTGTTGACAAAGATCCACAAAAAACGTCTATCATCGCCTTCATCTATATCTCGATCGTCCATGTATCAAAACTCTTGGTAGTGGATATTTACGACGACTTTATTGTCACGTGTCTTGGTGTAGGACAACAAATACTTGTTCTGAAACTCTTCTATAGCTTTACCAATAATATCTTTATCCTCGTCAGGTAAGTCCTTATAAGGCACCATAAGAATGTTCCTCTTTTTGTGAGCTGCCATGACGATTGTGGTCCCACCGGGCGTGCCAAAAAGTGTGTTGGTGCAAAAATATGGCGATGCAGTCAACACACAGCAAGCCGGATGATCTAAACGGAATGAGATTAGAGATCTGCTTGGCTTCAACACATGACCAGTCGATTCTTAAAACCCAATGGCGCGCCAGTCAATTTGACCTACAATTGACAAGAAGAAAAAATCTTATCAGTAGTTTAAGACGGAACATGTCGGTGTTGCTCCAGACAGTTCCAAATATGCGGCTAAACAGCCGATTCGATAGGGCTATCGACTAAATAGTCGATATCCAACATATCAGTAAAGTAAGGATCGCTGAATTGAAGATTATCGACTAATCTCAATGATGATGGTACGAATTCAAAATAATCGATACTCATGGGTCATGGCGATTTTATTATGATTGATTTACCCAGATAGAACAAGTACAATACACCCAAATATAAGTAATATAAAGAAACATCATCAGCTAGATAGATATAACCAGTGTAAAGCATTGAGCCGATAAGTTCAATGATAAAGGATGTAACAAGCGAACAAATCAACTGTCTAATATAAATGAATCTACAAACGCTCTGAATCTAATCTGTTACCATCAACAGTGAGGTTCGATCGGATCGATACAGCTATGATAATAATAACAAACTAAAGCCAAAGAATCCATAAAACCATCTATATATCGACAGGTTCATGAAAAACATGTTATATGCGTGAAAGCACAGGCGAATCAGCTAAAATAACCGATGCATGCATTTTTTTTTAACAAACAGAGTACATATCTTGATCATGAACAAAACCACTAATTGATAATCTCTAATCCAAAGTCTTACCAGTGAGGTTCGACTGGGTCGATGCAGCTATAGTTGTGTCATTAGATTAGATCTTATTAACTAGTGAACTTACTCAAGATTGGAACATGTCTTTGAATGCATACTATGATTGATCGGGATAAAGATAAAATAGCCGATCTAGCAGAATTAACCATCAATTATAAGATTCAAAGTATGACCAGACTAGAAGACGACCAATTAAGATGATGTGATGCTGATTTTATCTCTATCTCAATCAGGTGATTTGTTATAATTAATAAAACATTAATTATAACAAGATCGATAACTGGTGAATCAACCAAAAGTAGCAAGAAAAATCTTACTAATCTTAGTAGATTCGATAACTAGTGATATTGTGTTAAACAACAAGTTATTTAACACACGATCGATAACTTTGATCTATATTATGGCTCATAAAAGATCAACCAGCTGATGCAGCCTTACAAGCAACAATATGAATCGATAACTAACTTATATTACCATAAAAAGGTTAATCAGCTAATGTAGCTTTACAAGCATAATACAAGTCGTGACGGTACTCATAAATAAGCCGGAGGTCGATCAGTCGATGCAGCCCTGCTTGCTGAAGAACTCGCCGAGTTTCTACAGTACTCCTACTCCTGAGGGTTGGCGTGAAGCCGGAAAAGTAATTGTATTGATTGATTGTTCCTTTTTTTTACAATAACCGAGGTGCAATATTTATACCCGGAACCTAAACATGAATCCTATTTAAATACGACTCATTATAATTCTTGGAATAAAAGAAAACATTCCTAACTTAAAATAATTTGGACCCTAATCTTTTTCTTTCTGTAGAGTCCGACATATTTTCCCCCGACGCCATCCGTATGTAGTCCATTGACGTTGTCTGCTGACGTCATCTATAAAATAGCCGATTGCGACACTGCATCAAAACCAGTCGATATCGATTCACATCTGATCGATTTCTTAATGATACAATCTTAGAAGCTTCGAGTTCCCGCGTTTTTTTTTCCAAATTTTGGTGTAAACACTTCCAATATCAAGTTTTTTATGTGGCTTCTTACTAATGACGTAGTTTTGTCTAAAGACAATCTACTAAGGAGAAAATGGATTGGGGATCCTCGTTGTGCATTCCATGACTCTGATGAAAATATCATTCACTTGTTTTTTCAATGTCCAATTGCAAGAGTTATCTTATCTGGCTTATTGTAGCGAAATGTTTTGGTGCCAATAACATCCTAGAAATTTACAGCAATGTTGGAAATGGTGTGAAACATGGCTTCCATATGGTGATAAGTACCATCCCTGGGGGATTTCTGCAATTTGTTGGGCAATATGGAAAAAACAGGAACAAAGCTTGTTTTGAAAAGAATTTCATTAAAAATCATTTAGAAATAATTTGCCATGCTTATGCTTTAATGAAATATTGAGCAGGGCTTTTTGCTGAGAGGGACAGAGAGCAACTGGAAGAAGGCGTGGCCACTATGATGCGGGTGGCGACAGAGCTGCTAGCTAATCAACAGCGGGGGAGGAGTTGGACATCAGCTGGACTACGGTGATCAGCAAGACAATGAAAATGATGCTGCTTATGTTTCAAGTTCTCTGCAGTTATGGCTGTTAGCTTGAGAGGTCTTTTTTTTTTTGAAAGGCGCTTGAGAGGTCTTTTGGTCTGATAGTATACTCTTGTCGGTTCTGTAATTCCCGTATATTTGGGTGATGATACGTTTAAACCTGCTGGTTGTTTTCTGCTGGAGGGTCAGTTGTTCTGGTTCCCTAGATGCTGGTTCATCTTAGCTCTGGTCTAGATGATCTAAAGTTTCTGTTTTATGTCTGTTCTTCATGGCCAAATTAACATCTGTATTTCCGTTATGTCATTAATGGAAATGAGGGTTCCTCGTGTTGAAAAAAAAAAAAGAGCAAACAGCATGGTACCGCGGACTCAACATGCAGAACGCAGTAAAAAAATGGAAGCCGTAAGTTAGGTCAGGTAAGAAACTTCTCAAACAAAACTGAATGACTTGCCTTGTTCAAACTAAAACCACCAATTACAAATCGCACCGGTTCAGAAACGTACGAAAACACAATACTCCGATCTACGACTTGTATTATTACAGAAATGGGAGATGATGCCACCACTCAGCAACTGTCTAATCACTCATCTGCGCAGGTCGTTATTTATCTAGTTTGGTTCGCATAAAACAATCAATTGCTCAATCATACGCGTCAAGCAAAAGCGACGGATCAATGAAGAAGCGGACGATGGGCATCGGGGCCGTTGGCGATCGGTACTGGGTCACAACAGCAGTAGACGAACTGGCCCTTGATAATGCATGACCCTGCAGAATGCGTGTTGCAGATGGAGGTGCACAAGCTAGCCGAACAGGCTCCAACTCTGTTGCATCGAGCTTTAGCTTCCGGCTCCAGCTGGAAACTGCCCCTGCCCGCCGACGCAACTGCTGCGAGGAGAGCCATCAGCAGCGCAACCGCGAGGAAGACCTGAATCTTCTTGGAGCCCATCGCCATGACGATTGGTAAGTCTTCTTTCTTGGAATGTATATATGTGTGTATAGATATATATATATATATATATATGGAGAGACTAATGGTTTCTTGATGCTCGTTCGTTCTGCGGGTGCTTGCTTATATAGGCCGGAGCCACAAGTATGTCATGTCTTCAAATAGGTGTCATTATTGGCGCTACTCTTCTTGCCCATCCTTTATAAGGCGCATTTTGATTGTTAAGATTATCCTTTGATCAACAGCTAACTCAACAAATTATGAGTTGCTATATATATGCGTGCTACCACAAATGTATACTATTTCAAAGCAGTCGCTAAAGTTTATGATTTTATACCTATTAATAAAATACTCCATCCGTCATAAATTATAAGACGTTTTAGCATTTCTAAATTCATAGCTTTTATTGTGTATTTAGACATAATATATATCTAGGTGCGTAGTAAAAGTTATGAATCTCAACCAAAACGTCTAGGTGCATAATAAAAGTTATGAATCTCAACCAAAACGTCTTATGATTTGGAACGGAGGAAGTACGTACTATGACCAATACCCACGTCATCAAGCCATACAAGCACACTAGGGAAAAAAAACTATTTCTATACTAGCGGTAAAAATTGATTTCTACAGTCGGAGGTCTTGTGTTTGACCGCAAATATGAAAGAACAGTGAAAACAGGGCATTTCCACCGACAGTGACCATGTCACCGACAAAAAAAAAAATCAGTGCCACTTTGATTAAATCGACCGTCAGTATAAAATTCATTTCAACTTGCAATTCTCTTTAGCAATCACCTAGGGCCAAAAATATGAAAAAATGCACCAGGCCCACACCCACCACACCCACACAGTACCCACGCCTCAAGCCTAACAAGCTACATGAACTTTTGTTCAAAAATATGCATTTAAGAGAATCATTCCTTTTGATTCATCATAAAAGTGGAGACTATCGCCAGCACCTTTATTTTTCCCAGAAGATGCAAACTTAAGAGAACAAAAAAAAAAAAACTGAACTATAGCCATAATAATGCTGCCACAGGCCAGACTTAGCCCATCTGCTCAGGCCAGGCTAGACTGGGTTTGCTCAGATCTACAAAGTGAACCTGGCCTGCGCCCGTACAAAGTGAACAAAAATGGCCCATTTAAGAATTGGCTTGGCCCAATGGGGCACTGAAATACTAGTCCATAGCTAAAATTCAAACTAGAGCAGCTGCGCGCGACCTGCACTACAAACCCAATATGAGCGTGAGGCTTGCGCGCCAAAACTTGCCCTGCTTCATGCAAAACAGAGTAGCAGGTAGCATTAGCGAGCTGCTCTCTGCTTCGAGAAAACAGAGCAGTCGACAGGCAGGCAGCCTCGTTGTTTGCATTGGCACTTGGCAGCAACAAATTTGCAGCTGTCTACACATGCCCCAAAATGTAAAATCCCAACATGCAAGATTGTGAGAAGATCCTGGAGCATATGTGATCCACTTTATTGCTTCATTTCACGCCATAGAGTAAATACGCTGTTCATACGATTCCAGCGGTGTCAGCTCAAAGTCGACGGAGTTAGTAACATGAAACATTCGGTAAAGGCTAGTTCGGTGTGTGCATTGCACGGCACGTATGTTGCATCATGCCTAATTTCTAGCGTCTGCACGATTGATTATACATGATCTGTTCCTACTAGTACTAGTACTTTGCTACAACGAACAAGTCAGAATATATGATTCAAGTTAGATTCAACAATCTGAGACCAAAGACGTCTATATATATCTCACATAATTCAGAACACGCAAGATCTATCCCGGGCCTTGCAGAAAGGGGGAAACCATTTGAAGAATAATCAGTTTCAGACGCATCTTCATCAGATAAGGCCAATAACGGGTCAGCTTGGTTCTCTTGCCAGGTCAAGAGAGCCAATTTGGCTCACCCGAGCTAGCAAGCAAAAACCTTGGCAATGGGCAAAGGATCCAAACACAGTTATTGTTCCATGTTCTTGCTGGGCGAGGCGCTACAGCAGCTGGCGAGGAAACCAAACAGGCCCAACATCTCCATGTCAAGGCTCATGGCTGAGGCTGCTAGCCTAGCTCTTGCTTCAGCTATCATCGACAGGCTTAACCTCACACGCGTCAGCTACTTGTCGATGGCGAAGCACTAGATGAATGTGACCTCTAGAGCCACACATCGCAAGGGAGCTCGCCACCTGGAACGCCTCCACGCCGCTCTGCCTCTGGCGGGGCCTCCGCTGGGCCACGCCCGACGGCCGGCCCCTCTGCTGCGACGCCGCCTCCTCCATCCACAACCTGTCCCTCGCCACCTTCTAGTGCCGACGACCACCCCGGTCCTGGCCGCCGCTGGCTATCTCGACCGAGCGACTTCCCTGGTCCGCCTCGTGGTTCTGCAGCAGCTGTGGTGGTTCTTGTGATACTCGCACGCAGGTTGTTCGACGTTTTGCCGGAAAGGATTTTACTTGGCGAAATGGTGAGCTCTATCCATGGCGCCACTTAGCGCCTGATGACCATGGCTGCCTCTGTTTTCAACACTCGGCCTGGCCGGGTGGTGGAGGCTGAAATTCTTCGTCAATATGGCTCCTCTGTTACCAGTGATCCATCTTCAGCTGCTAAGGATTTCTTCCTTGTTCTCTCCGTGGGACGTTGTAAATTCCGTCTTTCAGAGCATTTGATTGAGAATCTTCTTCAAGCTGTCATTGGTGGTTCCCCTCGAGCTTTCAGAGTTGTGCAGCTAGATGATAGAGTCTTCAGGTTCTCAATGGCCTCTTATCAGGTTGGCTTCCATATCTATAATCTGCGCTCTTTTGAATGCCAAGATTTCAAGGTCTTCTTTCATCTCTGGCACAATGGAGGCCCCAATTTCAAAGTTGAATATCGTAATTGGTGCATTGAGCAAGCTGCTGAATGGATGGAAGTCTCTAAGCGCAAGTCGGTACGTCTTACTGGTGCCAATTCTGTTCCAATTGCCATTCCTGTTGTTCGCTTTCATGCTTCGAGCTCCAATTCCATGGAGTTTTCAAAATTTGAATTACCTTTTAATTCTAGTCGTAAATCTGCTTTTATGAGACTTGATTACCCTATTAATGCCCCTAATTATAAGAACATTCCTATATCACCCGCGGGTATTTTGGGCCCAATTCCTTACCCTAGAAGGATTACTAACGGTCATGGGCCTTTAGTGCAGCTTTGCACCAACTGTTTATCACTGGCCCATGCTAAGCATGCCTGTAATAATCCACCGTAATCCACCGCGATGCCGGAATTGTCTCGGCTTTGGTCACATTTCTGGAAAATGCAGTCTCCCACCCCGATCCTCGTGCCTCCTAAATGATCAGAGTGCCCCTTCGAATTCTCGTAATAGTCACTCTACTCACTTGCTGAATGGTGGACCTCAACAACCTTATACGCCAAGATTTTATCTCTCTGTTTCTGAATACATTAAAGAGTTGGTCGGAATTCAGTCCATTCCCTCCCCTAGCGTCGGCCTTGGAGACTCCGGGCTCCAGAGTTCGACGACGACAGTTCTTCCCCTCCTTCCTTGCTTGAGGTGTCATCGCCGTCCTCGTCACCACTGTCGATAATCTACTCGACGTTCGGTGAGTACGCGTCTCGTGTTCTTGGCATTCACCATTTTCCTGCTACTGTTCATATTGCTTGGTCTCTGAAAACCCCAATTGATGCTACAGTGAACCCCGATCCTTCCACTATGGCGTATAGGTTTGTTGACCCAACTCCTTTCATACCTACTTGGGGTCAGTTTGTGATGGTTCATGGTCGGCCTACCATGCATCGAGTTGTTACTGGTCGATTGCAGCGAGTCAATAACGATGTCGCCATCGCCTTCATCCATCCTTTGCCACACGGTCAGATGAATTTCAATGACATCCATGGCACTCTCGCGGAATTTTTGAATGTGCAGATGGGCATGCCGTATCAGTCAATCCAGCCCTGCCCATTTGGTCAGGCTTATGTCGCCCTTAACCATATGTCACATAGGGACTCTTTGATTAACAATGGCCCTCATCAGTTTGGAAACACTCACATTTCCTTCATTGCCCATGACTAAGCTTGGAATAACAGAACTGCAGTGTATACAAATGAGGTGTGGTTGATGATGATTGGCCTCAATGTTGACATCCGGTCGTATTCTCTGGTTGATAAAGAAGTTTCTCAGTTTGGCAAGCTTATGGTTTGGGAGGAGGACCATGATCATATGGCTAGAGCTTTGGTCAAAGTTAGAGTCACTGGTTTGGATGCCATTCCATGGTTTTTCAATTTTTCTGAAGGTGAAACCCCAGAGTCTGATAGTTGGACAATCCAGTGCAAGATAATTTCAGCAACAATGTTGGGGGTCCAACCTCAAGATGAGGATTTCCCACCAGAAGATCCAGATGATATTGACCCTAATCATTTTGAGTTCTTTGGTTATGGGCAACTAGGTAATGGGCCAGCTCCTCTAGATGGCCCCAATGCACAGAATTAGTTTGTAGAAGACCAAGGTAACCAAGTTTGGGCCCCTTGGCCTAACCAAAATGTAGCCCAGCTTGGATAGGGCCATCCTGCTGATCAGCTTGGAATTCAGCCTAATATGGATGAAGTACCTCTTTTAATCCCAAATCAGCCTGTTGAAGCTCAGCAAGGTGGGTAGGAAAATCATGTTGAGGAAGATGCTTTGGCTATGCTTGTAGAAGAAGTCATTCAAAATGTTCAGCATCAAGCTGTAGTCCCTCCAGTGGCTGATGAACAGGTCTTAGCAATGGATGATGATACAGACACTAATTCAGAAGTCTTTCCACAAGCTCAGTTACCTATACCTCCAGTGGAAATTGTGCCCTTTTCAGATTTTAATAATCTACAGCCTCTTATGCCTGAAGAGATCCAAGAGGGTGATCTGATGGGCTAGATCAATGGCCAAGGAAATGTTTTTGAGCATAATGAAGACATTCAGCTGGGGATGGTGTAGCTTCAGGACTCCTGGCCTCAACATTCAAATCTTAGACCTTGCCCTGAT